TTCCAGCTTAACTGCGACGACCAGCAGCGAGACTTCGTTGCATCGTCATCGTAGCGATTTAGACGAGAAATCGAACAATCTACAAAACGAAGAGAACCTAAGAAGGTATGCAAATCCATTGAAGGATCAAGACCCAGAACCACGTGTATCCGTAGTCAGACCATTGGCTGGTGCTTCTCTCAGTTCTCTCGGTACAACTGAAGAGAGTCTCGAAATGGTCTCGGAAGAAGGAAGACATCGTTTACCACCCCTTTACAAACCCCCAAGTGCCGAGACGAGAAATAACACGGCGAGTTTTAGTTACGAGGAAGGTCCCCACAAACCTTACACCAAACCGAGAATACAGGAACCAACGTACTCCCATCAGCAGCCTGGGACGAGTCAAACGTCGGGTACTCATCAAGTGTTAACGGTACACGTTTAAGGTCTTCTTTTTTTTTTCTTATTATTATTTTCTACAGTAATTGTAGTACCTATTGTTATAGGACTTATCAATTATTCATTACGATTTAAAACTCGATTCTAACTTGTGTTCAAAGTGTTCCCAACTATTCCCACGTGTTTATTATTAAATCTGGTGACAAGGTAATCAAGTATTTTGCTAAACTTAAATGTTTGCTAGCACGATTAAGTGGTATGGTTTTAAGATGATTATATTCGAAAGCTATAATGATCGAAAAAATATATTATATAAATATAAATATGTCGTAATCTTGCAAAAAAAAAAAAAAACAACTAATGTCTTCCTTGTTTTTTAAAAAGTAAGGTTACGTAGAAGTTAAATGATTTTCTATGTGTTCCATCAGAGAGTTCCCATAATCTCATGACTGAAGATCATGATTTTGTTGACAATAAACGCGATCGACGATTATAAGTAACTATAATGATAACATTTAAATATGTTGTTATCGTTGTACATATGTATATAGCTCGTACTTAGTAATTTTCGCTGTGACTGCACCGCTTGCACATCCAAGTGTTCAGCAATCACGATCCTTGATATCTTAAAACTTTTCTACGCTGGGTTGTTCTCGCGCATAATTATTATAATTATTATAATAGAGATCGTACGCGTTCGTTGTTATATCATATAAATAAATAAATAAATAATTAATTAATTAAATAAAAAAGAATAATCAATCCATTAGGTGAGGCACGTCTCCAAGTAAACACACAACAACAAAATGAATAAAATATAAACAATGCATGTGCAGCATGTATGTAACACGGTGGAACCTTTCAGTATCAGAATTTTGTATTATTCAAACGTGTTGCTGAAATTGTTTAAATTTAATTCAATTTCTGTGTTAATTCAGATACTACAGATTCTACCGTACGTATAATGCATTTATAACGCAGTGATGAGATTTAAATATCACAGAACGATGATAATATGTGTATGTGTGTGTGTTATTCTCCGATTAATTTTTTCTATTTTTTTTTGTTTGTTTTTTTTTTTAAGAAATCCCGTTACTTACATCGTACAACGTATCGTACATATTATAAACGTACCGCTTACGATTTAATAATTTTAACTGATGATTACTGAGATTGCGTTACAATTGTTTGGATACTTACATTTATTATACCGAACAATTATTTACGATTCACTTAAAAAAAAAGAAAAAAAAAACAGTGAAAATCATTTCCTAAGACTTACGATACATGCATACAAACATACATACGTGCGCATACCTGCATACATACCTTGTAATATGCCGATAACGTGTTAGTGCGGAATTTGTGTACGTAGGTGGGTTGAAAAGTTTTGAGTCTAACATAGAAAAATATTCAATGATTTTTTGTTTATTTTTTTTTTTTTTTTTTATAAGCAAGACTTACAATTTTTTAATCCAATCCACAAATTGATATATTAAAAATATTGTTTAACCTTCGAACGTTCCTTTCGGACGATATTATTGTGATATATTATTATTATTATTATTATTATTATTATTATTATTTACAAAACGACATACTTTTCCCACAGTCGTTTTTTACTTCGTTTTTTAAATTAATATTATTATTATTATATATATTTTTTTATTTTATTTTATCTTTTAACTTTCTTTTCCTTTTACCTTCGTTAAGTCTATCGTTGTACTATGTCTATTTTTTTTTTATACGCATCACTATGATATCGTCAAAACAAACGTACATGTATGTGTGTGTGTGTATGTGTGAGAGATAAATAAATAAATATTAATAACAATAAAAAAAAGAAGAAAAGAAATGTGAATTTGGCGATACCATTTAGTTAGTATTTAACATATGCATATTTACGAACGTTCATCGGCAGAAAATACGATTATTTCGTGTAGAGATTAAGTTAAATAAATAATAGAAAGAGTTAATGACAAAAAAAAATGGCAAAAAAAAAACATACAGATATAATAATATTAATAGTAATAATAATTATTATATTATTAATAATAATAATCATATTAATAATAACAATTATTATAATAATAATAATAATAATCATAGAGTAATATTAATAATTAATAATAAGACGAGGAAAAGTGCAGTAAGGAGAAAATGAAATTAGTGTAAATATACGCCGCTTTTACTTAACGATTAACTATACTATATTCCAGTTATTGCGATTACAAACAAAAAATGGATTAAAAAAAAAAAAAGGAGACAAGTTGATAAGCTTTTTTTATTTTTTATTAAAAAAAAAAAAAAAAGAATCTTTAAATAATATATTACATTTAATTATAAATTTATATAAAATAATTTATATACATATATATATACGTACACGCGTACATGATATTATTATTATTTACATCTTCGTCATTTCTTGGATCAAACTAAACGTGTGTGTATTTTTAATATTAATTTTAATCAACAAATCCGTCACACGTACACGTGCACGTAAAAAAATTTAAAAAAAAAAAAAAAAACGTGACTTTTACGTATTCGATGTTTTATCCAATAGACATAGTTGGCAAAGTTATGGAAAGAAAAAAAAAAGAATAATAATAATAATAATAATAATAAACCGGTAAAAGTCTCTTGTAAACTTTCTATTCGATCTATAGTGATCGATTAATCTCGTATTTCGATATGGGATTAATAAAAGAAAGAGCGGCGTAGTAAGCCTTCGAGAAAAATTGTAAATAGATTAAAATCCTCTATTCCCTTTCCTACACCTTTACCTGTTCCATTCACCTAATTGTATTCTCCTTCCACCTCCTCCTCCTCCTCCTCCTCCTCCCTCATATCCTTTTAATCAAGTATTATAATATAGATCGGATCGTTCTTATCTAGATGTGCAATTTTATTTTGTGGTTCTTCTTTTATTTTATTTTATTTTTTTTTTTTTAATCTTATTTTAATTTTTCCCCATTTCTTCCTCTATTAAATAAATAAATTTATTTTATTTTTTATTTACGAAGAAATAAAGGAAGAATAAAAAAGAATTTATATCAATTTCCCCTCTCATCCCTTCGTAAAAATGATAAATATAAATAATTTCGCGACGATTTATATATATATATATATACATAATTTTATATAATATTATTTTATACAGATATATATAAATATGTAATTGTATTCTTAATTATTCCTAGATCATGTGGGGCAATAGTTTGAACGTTGAATGAAAGATTATCGATTACTTTCATGATTTTTTTTTTATATTTTTAAAATATAATTAATTAGAAATAATTATAAATAATAATCCGTGAAATAATGTTACGTTTATACCGGAAAAGAAAAAGAAAAAGAAAAAGAAAAAGTAGGGTGGTCTCGAGGATCGATTTTATTCGATCTTACGTTGAACCGTGAGAGAGATAAAAGGAAAAAATAAATAAATAAATGAAACTTAGGAACTCAATCTAGAAAATAATCGTTTAACTAATGTCTCTCTGATCGATGATAGATTTTAGTTTAAGGGATATACACCCACGCGTTGTGAATTGTGATCGATCGCTCGTCAACGACAATGCCGAGTTAATTAACGAAATGAGCGAGTACATTATTGTAAATAAGTTCCCATCCCACCACCTCCCTCCTTTTCCTCCTTCTACTTCATCAAACCTTTATTTCAACCCTTTTCGTATCCTATTTTTCCTTTTCCCAACCATTCTCTCTCGCATTACGTTACGACGATGAAGAGTTTCAATAAAAAGTACAATACTTCGTCAGAATGTTTGTTTTTTTGTTTTTACATTAGCTTTCACATCATCAAACCCCATCACTAAACTCCACCACAAAGCTTTTTAAATAATAAATAAATAATATGATAATTATTGTTGTACAGTTTTGTCATTTTTCAAATAAAATATTTCTAAAGTTAACGTCAAGCTTGTATTATGAAAATAATTAATATTTTATTATTTGAAAAATGAAATGAATCGATTAACGATAGCAAAGAAATACACAAGTTCACTTTTTTTTTTTTATGCATCAATTGCAAAAATTGATGCAACTTTTTGACGATTTAAACACGAATTTGGTGTCCCGAGGAGATGGAATAATACGTCATCTCCAATTACATTTTGATATAATTGAAGATAATATACTTGATCATCGTCAAAAGTGCGTCTGGGATGAACAATAAGCTCTAAGATCAATTTCGCGACGAGACAACAGAATTTACGAGCCCGGACGAACATAACGTAAGATAGATTAGGATGATCACTGTATAAGGAACTGTTGAAATTACAACACAATGGTTCAGAAGAGTCACTTGATGAAAATACTCGGTAAATGAGTCATCTCTCTTGATTCAGTCAAATTTCATTCATCGAAATTGTTTCCTGAATCGAATCATTCGATCATTCTATTTCGTGGATTTAATATTAAAATTTGATTCAAACGTTAAATATATCGATTTTTAAAAAATTACTCATTTCGTGGCAAACTAAATATCAATTTCAATGGATTTGACATAATTACATAACCCGTGTAAAAAAATTCGTACAAAAAAAAAAAAAAATGTAAAACAAAATTTAATACTTTGGATATTATAAAATTAAATTTGAAGAATGAACAGTAAACAGGTACGTGCGTATAATTAAATTAATATATAAACTAATATGATAAGTGAACAAAAAAAAATATGAAATATGTGCTACAGCAACATATCAAAAATTCGATCCAAGAATCTTACTACTCAGAGTTTGATTACGAAAAATGGGATGAATATTACGAAGAGGAAACTTTTGAAGATGAATACGACGAGGAATCAGAATCCAGCGATGATTTCGAATTAGAGGATGAAACGAAAAAGAAGAAGAAAAAGATACGTTTACAATAATTACTTGGTGTAACTTAAAAATACAACAAATTTGGTAAACTTTAATCAAATTAGTTGCAAAGTATAAAATCTATTTTCCATTGGTTTCATTTTGAAAATATTTCGTTAAATTACGATAAGAAACATTCGAGTATTTAACAAGAAAGTTGTATTTTAGGCTGTCCGAAAAAAAGATGACGATGATGTTTCAATCGAAACTTTAATTACTCCGGAAGAAAAAGATGTTATTTCCGAAAAATCACCCAGCGAATCTTCGATTCATCCTTGTTTAAGAGATATTGATATAAGTGATTCACAAATGAAATTATCCAATTTGAGTACGAGCTTTCCAATCCCAAATGATCCTGGAGTGGGCCCAGCATTTCAGATTCTAGCAATTCAAGAATCCTTTGAAGAAGGTGGGATTTACAAATTTGACGAACACGTCAGATCCAAAGGTCTCAAGGTGATACAATCGATTGCCAAAATGTTGCAAACGGAATACATTGATTTAAGATATTACGGAATTGATCCAAGAATCGTTGAAATTATTTGTTGTGCTTTGCAAAATAACGCATCCGTTCATACGATTGATTTTACGGTACTTAAGTACTCGATTTATAATTTTCTCTAAACAAATTGGACACATTGATAGTTTTTAAATACAAAAATTGCTAAACTTATTATTTTTTCAGGATAATTGGTTGACCAAAAGTGCTTGTTATTATTTGGGTGAATTATTGCAGAAGAGTAACACAATAAATAATTTAATTTTAGCTAAATGTCGAATAGGTTCTAAAGGTACGGAAAAATTATGCGATGGGATTTCAGTATCATCCTCATTAATCACTCTCAACCTTAATTCTTGTGATCTTAATGAGAAAGGATTAGAAGTATTAGCATTAGCAGTAGGAGATAATCAAAGCTTGGAAGAACTTTTTTTAGCAAATAATAATTTAAACAAAGCTTGTGCAGAACATCTATGCTACATCATAGCACATTCGAAATCTATCAAATGGTTAGATTTATCATCGAATTCGTTATTTGATCAACAAACTTGGAAAGGTTTAGCCAACGCTTTATTGAAAAATTATATTTTGGTTGGATTAAATTTATCGTGGAACGGGATTGATTCTGAATGCGTTAAATATTTAACAATTATTTTGAGAAGATCACAACTTGAAATTTTGGATCTTAGAAGTGAGAATTATTCGTACTAATTATTAACATTAATTATCCTTAATTAATTGAAATTAATTTTGTATTTGTAGATAACATGTTAACGAAATCTGATGCAGAAATTATTTCCAAACCATTATCGAAAAATAATGCATTAGAAGAATTATATTTAGGAAGTAATCCTTTGGGAGCGGAAGGCGCATTTATTTTGATTTCTTCTCTTACCTTGACAAATTCACCGGACAGTAGTCTTCGTCTTTTAAATTTAGAAAATGTCTGGGCAGATAAAAATATTCTGCCAGAATTGGAATCGATAGAAAATGAAAAACCATGGTTGCAAATAGAATTAGGTGGTATTCTACGCAATTACAAATTAGTGGGTCCAGATGTTCAAAAAATTCTTTTAAGAAGAGCTCAATATGAAGCAATGGCACAAAAACGAAAGAAACGTAGAAGAAATTTTGGTCATTTTGTATTATCCTTAAACGATAGACCAATACGTATAGGTATTTGTTGTACGATTATAAAATGATGCTACGATTTGATGAAATTTATATTAAATAATATTGCAGGACAATTTAGACAATTAATAAGAAACTTTAAATTGAGATTATCTAAATCACTTATCAAAGAAATTATCAATGCATTTCCTGGACCAAGAAAAACAGTTGATCAAGCTCTCATAAAAGCAATTTACTTAAAAGAATTTCCTGATACAAAACCACCTCCAGTCAAACCATCAATAAAAAAAGAAGAAGAAAAGAAAGAAGAGATCGAAAAAGTAGAACTTGAAAAATCAAAAGTAAAACAAATACCTAAAGAAAAACCTGAGGTTAGTATAAAAATAGATAATCTATTTATATGAAATTAATTAACAAATAATTATAATTATATCTGTCTTATTTTACTTACGATCACATCAAAAGTATTTCGAAGAAATAAGCTATGAAATTGAAGAAGACATATTTAACGACTGGTACGAAGAATTAAAATATTATTAAATTAAAACAATTATATTCTATATACATTTATAAATAGAAAATCTATTTTTCTTAAAAATCATTTTATTAGAATTTAATTCGAGTACTACTATTAACATTTTTGTAATAAATTAAACGTATCAACTTAAAACGAAAGATTTAATATTTAATCGATATAAAATATTCTTGCAGCGATATCGCTAACAATCCAATTAATACCTTCGACTAAATTTTCTCCCGTAACTGCCGAACATTTATATATTTGCCAATGATGCGTTTTAATGTTAGGTAATTCTAAGATTTCAGCAATGTCGGATGCCGAAAGTGCACCAGGTAAATCTTGTTTATTAGCGAATATCAAAAGACTGGCACCTTCCAATCTTTCTTCTTGTAATAATTTATACAATTCTACCTTGCAATCTTCTAATCTCCTACGATCAGCACTGTCGATTACCCATATTAAACCATCAGTAGATTCAAAATAATTTCTCCAATATGAACGCAATGATTTCTGTCCACCAACGTCCCATACGTTTAATTTATAACCACGGTGTTCTAAAGTTTTTATGTTAAAACCCAATGTTGGAGATATGGTGTCTATAGGCTCTCCATTTATTCTTTTTAAAACTGTTGTTTTACCTGCATTGTCTAATCCTCTGAAACATTAATTCATATTTTAATGTATAACATATTTATTTATTTTTAATTGCAAACGAAAAAATTGATAAATCAATATGTAACACATACAGCATTAGGATTCTCATTTCTTTTTCTTTCTGCTTCAATTTCTTCAACACGGTTAACAAACCCATCTTTGTTAAAATTTTAAAACACAATTGGAATACAATTATTCTTTATTTGAGCATACTATATTAAAAATTTGCTTTGAATAAATGACCTAAAAAAATAAAACAGTTTAAAGGTTAAGAAAAAATTTATATATTGAACAAGAAATAATAAAGTATTGCAACATAACCTTTAAGCATATTAATTTAATAATTTTTAATATGAAAAATGCTTACCTTATTTGTTGTCATAAATAATCTTCAATTTAAATGGAGAATTATTATAAAATCTTTTAGAAGGTTTCCTATTTTTATAGGTTAGTTGTTTGACAGTTCTTGGTAACTATTCACTGGTAAAATGAAATAACCATAGTGATATATATTACTATTGGTAACACTGACACGTCACAGTAACGAACTAAATGTTTAGTAATATCGATTAGTTTCGATTAGCACTATCAAACGTAGAATAAAGTTTGTCGAGTTATTTATAATTATTTTTTCTTTGAAATATAAAATAATTAATCTTTTATTGCAATGGGTTGTGATGGTGGAACAATTCCTCGTAGGGACGAACTCGTGAGAATAAAGAAGAAACCAGAGAAAGTAAGTAGTACCTATGTGCATTTTATTTAAAATAAAAAATAATCGTACATATAACATAACCTAAAACAATACAATTTTATATTGCAATAAATGATTACATTGCAATAGCTAAATTGCAATGGTTGTAATGTTAAATCTTATAATATGTATTATTTAAAACATATGAATTAAAATGTGTTGTCCTTTTAATTGTGCAGAAAGATAAAGATGCTGAATTAGCATTCAGATGGAAACATTGTACGATACGACAATTACCTTTACAAGAACCAGTTGTTGCTTGTGGATTAGGTCGTCTTTATAGCAAGGAATCTGTTTTGGAAGGACTTCTTGATCGTGACACACTTCCAGAATCTGCAGCTCACATTAAAAATTTAAAAGATATTAAGAATCTTAATCTTACTCCTAATCCTGCATTCAATGCTAACAAAGCAGAAAAAGGAGATTGTTATGTTGATGGTGGAAAGAGTCCATACATTTGTCCAGTTATTGGATTGGAAATGAATGGAAAATATAAATTTTGCTTTTTGTGGACTTGCGGTTGTGTCATGAGCGAACGTGCACTTAAACAAGTCAAGACTTCAGTAAGTAATACATCAAATGAAATTGTTATTTTCATATTTGTTATTAACTATATGTTTAATGTAATTAGTTTTCTGTATTTTTATGATTAAAAAGTATTATTATTGATTTCTTTTTTGTTTTAAAGGTATGTCATAGATGTCAACAAGCATTTACCGAAGCTGATATTGTTATCTTGAATGCAGTTGACGAGGATCTTGAATTAATGCAGGAACGTTTGGATGCACGCAAAGCTGCACAGAAATCTTCCAAGAAAAGGAAGAATAAAACTGAAAGTACTTCGACTGAAGCCAATGATAAAACCAATGATAAAGCCAATGATAAAGCCAATGATAAAGAAGAAGTATTGAAAAAGAAGATCAAAAAGGAAGAAAAACCTTCAACATTACCTAAAAAGAATGTAAATAGAAATGAAGCTGAAGATCCTGCATATAGAAAAGCTAAAGAAAGTTATAGCATTGCGAAAGATCCTAAAGCTTCTGAAGTTTTCAAAAGTATATTTACGAGTCATAAATCTGCTGACGATCAAGATAGAGCTCATTGGATTACTTATAATCCATTTTATAATTAGTTTTAATTACAATTTATTTTATTTCTGTAAAATAATTTCCTTTGTAATTTTGTGTTTATAGTTTTTAAAATTTAATTAGCATTAATACAATGATAAAACTTGTAATTACATTATTAGACAGAATTTTTCAATATAAGTTTAATATATTAGTTTAATAAAAAAAAACTAAAAAACATGTATATAATTTACAAAAAGTATAATGAATCTTTAAATATATTAATTATTAGTATAATTATCTCACATATTTTGTTTTCTATATATATAAGTGAATCAGTCGTAGTGTTTCATATTTTAGTCACTAGAGTGCATTGTAGTATCCAGTCATTAAGGTAATGTTATGTTGGAACACGTGTTGCTGTTCTCGATTGTGTTGTAGGTTAAAATTGTAAGAATTAATATCAATGTTTAATATTTTTATATATTAAAATCATAAATTTAGCTTTTTTCCCATGTTATAAATTCATTTTTATATGAATAATAATAACAAGTAATAAGAAAACATAAATCTAACCTAAAATATAACCATAAATCTAACCTGTCTATGCAAGTGTTTGCAAGTTTTATTTATTAATGCACATATATTATTTTATTTAATTTGTAAAATATTATTATATTGATTTAATTTGAAAAATCATGACTAACGAAACAATTATGGAAGAAAATGTAGAAGAAAGTGAAAATATCATAACTAATGGAACAACAGAAGAAAAAGCAGAAGAAAAAGTAGAAGAAGATGAAACTACAAAAACAGATTTCTTAATATTAGGTTCTAAGAGTCATAAGAAAAAGAAAGAAGTTAAAAGAGTATTACCAAATTGGTTAGCAAATCCAGAAATAATATGTGCAGATTTAAATAGTGGTCCAACATTGGAAGAAGTTAGTTTCTTAGAACCACAGCTTAAAGAAATTTTGAGAGCTAATGGAATAGATAAATTATTTCCAGTACAAGTTAGTATAATGAATTGGTTATCGAAATGCGAAGAAGACAGAAGAAAATTAGGATATTGGCCACGAGACGTTTGTGTATCTGCACCTACAGGCAGTGGTAAGAAATTCTTCATAAATATATAATATTTTTGTTTTTATTTTAATACAAGTATATAATAATACTATTTAATTAATATTATATCTTAGGTAAAACCTTGGCATACGTATTGCCAATAATACAACAATTACAGTCTAGGTTAGTACCAAAAATACGTTGTTTAATTGTAGTGCCAGTGCAAGAATTGGCTTTGCAAATTCACAAAGTCGTCCTCACTTATACGTCTCATACAAATTTAAAAGCAGGTTTGATTACGGGTGCTTCATCATTTGAACAGGAACAAAATAATTTAATCAGAAAAAGTAAATATGTTTATTTTTATTGAGATTTAATTTTAACAATTAATCATTTCTTAATTTTAAATTAAAAATGTGAATTGTTTTTTTTCCCCAGCTATTTCAGATGAGTATGTAAGCTCAGTAGATATACTGATAGCTACACCAGGACGTTTAGTTGATCACATATTAAAAACTCCTGGATTTTCTTTAGAATCTCTTCGTTATCTTGTTATCGATGAAGCTGATCGTGCAACAGAATGGTTGCAATACATCCCTGAACTCCATTTAAATGCACTCCCATTGACCTTAGAAAATTTATCTTCAAGGTATTATTGCATGATCTTTCATATTCGGTATACATTACATTTAAATATTAATTCATATTTCTATTATAGTCCACCGTTTGCTCAGAAATTATTGTTCAGTGCAACTTTGACGCAAGATCCTCAAAAACTAAATCAATTTCGGCTCTTCCAACCCATACTCTTTACATCAGTGATAGTTGATAAAGATACTGATGTAAATTTGGACGAAGAAGTTGGTAATTTCATTGGACGTTATACAAGTCCTGAAGAATTGAAGGAACGTGCTGTTGAGTGTTCTCCTGAATTTAAACCTATAGCATTACGTGAAATTTTACTACGAAAGAAACATTTTCGCAAAACTTTGGTATTTACTAATTCCACTGAGTCAGCTCACAGATTGTCCTTACTATTGCGATTACTTTTATCTGAGAAAAATATCATAGTCGAAGGACTTTCCAGTAGATTAATAGCTAAGCAACGAGAAGAGATTTTGAATAAATTTGCATTGGGTGAAATTAACGTGTAGGTATACTCAAACAATGATAGTTTCAATCACTAAGTTTAACTTATCGTTCAATAAAATATTAAATTAAATTAATGTATTCCATGTATGTTTTTTTTGTTCAGTCTCGTCAGTTCAGACGCCTTAGCTAGGGGGATGGATATACCAAATCTTCAATTAGTAGTATCCTACGATCTTCCCAAACACATCAAAGGATATATAAACAGAGCTGGGAGAACGGGACGAGCTGGTAAATCAGGTACTGCAATATCTATTTTAACTTCCAATCAAATTGGTATATTTAAACATATGTTGAGTTCTGCTCATAAACCTTTACCAAAAATAACAAAAATGGAATTAAATGATATTGCTGATGAAATAAATTACGAAGATCATTTAAATAAATTAAAAGATCTTCTAGAGGAAGAGAAAGTCATTACTGTAACTAAAAAGAAATCTAAGAAACGAAAATACAGTCAAATATCAGATGGGAAAAATAATAAATAATATTATTTTATGTACGTGTGTGTTTTTGTATATATATATATATATCTTATTATTATGTTTCTATTTAGAAAAGTAATTTTCCTGTAATATAATAGGTAAGAGTAATGTTGTAAAATACATTTGATAGGGTAACATCGATAATAACATTTTATTGTCTGAAGTTAATAGTATCGTACATCATGCTTATACCCTACCGCAAATAACTCTAGGAGCAGCTGAGATAATCTTCAAATAATTTTACTAATTATTCATCAACGGCTTTATTTTCGTCGAAGGCAGATATTATATTCACAAAATCTTTTCTTCTCTTTCTCTTTCTCTTTCTCTCTCGTTTCTTTCTTTTTTAATTTATAAAAGATAAATGATCATCATTTATATATTTATATATGTATATATATATATATATCGAATAACGACACAGACATGCAATTCATTTATATTTTTATTTTTATTACTATTATTGCTGTGCGTAACTTCATTGCTATCCAAAGATTCCGATGATACAATTTGTCACGTCTTCGTTATTCAAAATTCAAATGAAATTAATTAAAAAAATAATATTATAGAGAAATGAATTTTTTTGCTTGGATACACAAAATCTGTTTTTTTTTTTGTAAATCGAAATAATACGTAAAAATAAATCTTCTCTGTAAATGAAAGATTTGAATTTTTGTTGTTGTTGTTTATGATTTATAATATTGGTTCGCACGGAGATATACACAGCATACAATAATAATTTGCAACAGTGCGGGTTTATTTATCATTTCAATTTAAAGCTATGGCATGTCTTAAGCTGTCGGGGTTTTTGCATAGTTATTTTATTTGTTAGATTAATCGGTAAAAATTAGGGGAATTATAGTTTATTCGTTGAAAATTCATTTCTTTTTCTTCATTCTTCTTTCTCTCTCTCTCTCTCTCTTTCTTTCTTTCTGTTTAAATTTTATTTGTCAATTTATTTTATACAATTATTTAATTTTTCATTTAAGAAATCAAATCAATCGATAATAACAATAACAATCGATATCCTCGTTATCCACTCGGAGTTTTAAATTATTTTAGAAAAATAAAAAAATATAATTTTGCTATTATAAAAAAAAAAAAAAAAAACAAAAAAAAGAAGGGCCACCCCATAGAATATATACATATACAATTTTTATTTATTATCCGATAAATTTCATTTTAATATCTGATGGCCGGTACATATTATCATTTTTATTTCTAGATTAATTAGATTCAATTTTTTTTTTTTATAGTTCTGGCAGTGTATTTATTGCTCAATCGCAATAATAATTAAAGAAATAAATTGTATATATATATAACTAATATAATAATTTTTTATATTAAGTTATATAATAATTAATAATTTATCTTAAATAGGCCTAATATGAAATATTTTCTTAAAGATTAAATCCTTCAAATAATTTTTAAAATAAATAAATGTATAAATAAATAAATAAATAAATAAATAATTAAATTAAATTTAAATCCCCGAAAGCTCAACAACTCCAGCAGCAAGAGGAATATCAGGATTCACATTAAATTTTTTCTTTTTTTTTTTTAGTGTTCAAGATACGTAAGTATAATTACATACATGGCCCATTTTTTTTAATTAAACGATATATGGTATGCATTTATTATTAATATTATTATTATTATTATTATTATATTAATATTATATTAATATTATATTAATATTATTATATATTTTTTTTTTTAAATAGCGAATCAAACCTTGTTTTTTTTTAAAATCATTTCTCCCATTCGTTAATATGTTACATTTTTATTAATATTAATATTATTATTATTATTATATTAAATGTATGCATGTATGCACTTATATATGCACTTATATATGCATTTATTTATGCATGTATTTATATGTTTTTTTTTTTATGTATGTATAGATGTTATTGAATGTTCACTTTATTCATTTTTCTTATACAAAATCTAAATTCAAATTGGACAACGTTAGTTTAACGTTTACGTTTTTCTATCATTATTTAATTAATTAAATAAATAATTAATTAAATAAAGAAAAAAGCGTAACATTTTATTAATCAGCCATTCGTTATTATCGTTGTCATTGTTATAATCATTTCTATCGACAAAGTCAACATTGAATTTTTTTTTTTTTTTTTTAATTATTTACACGAATAGATTCGTTAACGTTTATATATAAGTGTGTATGTACATACATATTATGTGGTCCTATATGATTCATATGTCTCGTTGCCATGTATATGTATCATTATCATTATCATTAGCATCATTATCATCATTATCATCATTTCTTAGTTTTAATTTAATGTCTTTTTTTTTTTTTTTCTTAATATTCAAACACCCACTTGTACAAAGATCTCTTTTTCTTTTTTTACCTTTTTCTATTTAAACATTTCGTCGATCACGATAATAATAATTATTTTGTTATAAATAATCAAATTTATTTATTTATAATTCTAAACAAATTTGAATTATAATATTAATATAATACATATATTAACATATTGAAATAAATTATAATGTCTATTATGTGTTTATAAAATTTGTAAAGAATTGTTTTTTAAATTAGAAGGTTAAAAAATATATTTGTCTATTTTTTTAAATTACTATTATCTATCGTGATCGACGGATGGGTAAGACGGTATTTTAAAATAAAAAAAAAAGAGATTGATTAATTAATATATATATATATATATATGTGAAATGTTTACAAACCCGCACACATATACTTTTGCGTACATTTAGTAAACCCGCTGGAATTAGTACGACGTTAATTCGTTATAAAAGATGTTATAATTGTTTAATTATTTATACGTATATTAAATTTTGATCAATGTAAATGCGTGATCGTTTAAAACAGGGCTTTTCAAAATATTCCATATTCAAATTATAACAAAATGAACAAATTGATCTGAATCTATTTTAATTTTTAATTATCAACACTTATAATAGTACACGTTTATAACTTTATGATAGTTAAAAAAAGAAGCATAGAATTTATAACTCAAGTCATCAAAATAATTGTTCGGATTAAAAGTTGAAGGGTTGCCAATTGGAAAAGTTTGAGATGCCCTGATTTATAAAAGGGGAAAAATGGTTCTTCATTTTCTTTTAACTTTTTTTTAGTTCGACGTAAAATCGATTTTTTGCCAAACAACGGGACATTATGATTGCAATTAGACGATGATCAGTTTCAATACGAACTTGCGTACAATACTTTTTTTTTCTTCTTCTTTTTTTTTTAATTATATTTTTCGTTTAATTAATTTTTTTTTTTTAATTATTATTATCATTATTATTATTATTATTATTATTATTATTAATTATTAATATATATATATCGCGTAGGAAGATTCCAGTGAGTTTATTTAAATAAATATTCTCATTTCACACATGTGGAAATCTACCATACTGTATTTATTGTCGTATCCTCTCTTTCTCTCATTTTTGCAATTGAGATTACAGTATTATCAGAATTCGATCATTTTATCTTTTTTTTTTGTGTTCTTTTTTTTCTTCTTCTTTCGATCTAGTAATTATTTACGAATCGATTTTTATTTTGTTCTGTAACGCGTGTAATTCGGTCATTCGTTTCATTTCCTTTTTTAAATTGTTTTTTATTTATTCATGTCAGTTCATTCCATATTTCATGTTTTTTTATTTTTTACTTTTTTTTTTTAATTATTTTTCTTTATCATCTTCGTCGTTATACGATGGAGGCCATTTTTAAGAAAATATTATGGAAGACGACATGTTTGTTTTTTTTCTTCTTTTTTTTTTTCATTTTTACGTAGACGATTATTTTATACGCAAATATTAAACATTTTTTTTTTTTACCATCACAATCACATAAGGAAATATTATTATAATTAGTTTAATCGTTTAATAAGCGTCAAAGATCTATCATTTTTTATTATTACTTATTTTAATTATAGGATATATCTTGTTGGTAAGTAATAATACATTTAAATATAAAATACATATATATATATATATATATATACGAATAATTAATAATAATAATAATAATAATAAAATGACGGTGATAAAATAAAATTTTGTTCCATAAAAAAAAAAAAAAATGATTTTCACGTCAAATTATTTGTTCTTCCGCTTTACGAATACAAAATTTAATATCAAAAAGAAAAAACAATTTAATGAATAATTTGACGATAGTAAACGGCCAAAAAATCATTTTGTTTTATTTTTCTCTTTCTCTTTCGTTTTTTTTTTTCTTTTTTTTATTTGGTTTAATCTCGTTGATTTAATTTTTTTCATTCTTTGCCGATAATACCTTGCATGCTGCTTGTTTTATTTTTATTCGTTTCATTTTCTTTCTTTTTTCGTTTTTCTTCCATTTTTCTTCTCTTTCGTTAAATCTTCTCAAAGTTTATCTACAATTTTTGTTTTTTTTTGTTTCTTTAAATAATTCATTTTTATCTAAATAAGTCTACTAAGTATCCTGGCACGTGTGCCAAGTTTTTTTTTATTATTTTTTCCTTTTTTTTTTAAGTTTCCTACTACTCACACACATTCACAGAGTTTTCGTATTTACAGACTTTACTTTTTTCTTTTTTTTTTCTTTTTCTTTTCTTCTCTTTAACTTTTATCTCTTTTTTTTTGTCACCCCTTATAATTTTCTTTCTTTCTTTTTTTTTTTCTCAATCGAAAGAATCAACAAATACTTTAGGCTTTTGGTCGCATCACACACTCTCACACACACACACACACACACACGTTGTGTGTTCGCACGATTTTTAACTTTATTTAATGATTTATTTAATTAATTTTTTATTTCGTTTTTTTTTTTTTTTTACTTTTAATCAATGGACTATTTTATTATTATTAAAAATTTGTGTCCTCGTGTTTTTTTTTTTTTACTTTTTTTTTTATTACATCGATTAGAAGGAAGACCATGTTCTTGTTTTGTTTTATTTGTTTTTTTTTTTTTTTTTTAATTTTTTTGTTTCTTTATTTAATTCGCACGGTTTCGAATAGTTTCACCCTGCACTTTTATTTCTGTATTTTTGTTTTTTGTTTTGTTCTTTCTTTCTTTCTTTCTTTCTTTCTTTCTAGAAAATATTATACGATATAAACGAAATAAAATATAATAATATTTTAAATTGTGAAAAATATTTCAAATAACAAATCATGAGGATAGAAAACAATCCGTGCGAGGAAGATTTAAATATTATATTCCTTTTTTTTTTTTTATATTTTTTTTATTTATAAATAAATAAATGTGAAGAAAGAAAATAATTCTTCTTTTTTTTTTTCCCCGTTGTTCTTTGCTATCAACGTCAGCGTGTTGAATTATTTTCCTGTATTTACAGTCACGTATTAATTTAATTATTTATTTATTTATTTATTTATTCGTATTTCCGTCAGAATGGAAAAAACCTTTCTATTTGATATCGTAGGATTGTCGCATACGCACGGTGCGTTTTTTTTTTTGTTTTTTTTTTCATTTTTAAATCTTATGACTGCCGTATTATTATTGGACAAGACAAATGAAAAAAAAAAATACAGGAAGCTTATTAGGTCTGATATTTTTCTTTAAATAAAAAAAAAAAAAAATAAATCAAATTCACAAAGAACCCACAGTTCAACGATTAATTAAATCGTACGATTTCAATAGAAAAAAGTTGAATATTTGAAATATTTTAATTAAAATAAACAAAACAAAAAACAAAAAACAAAAAAGGAACATTTACTTATTGCAATATTATTTTACGTATAATATTTTGAAATCAACGTATAAATTATTGTAAAAACACGGACAGTAACGTATCGTTTCGTCGTTTTCGATGGTTTTTTTTTTTTTATGTTTTTCTCTTTCATTTTATCGTAAAAATTGGTTTGTTAGAATCTATTCGAATTGGGGACATTTTTTTGCTGTTGTTTATTATTATTTTAATAAATTCTCATGAACCTTAATAAAAGAAGAAAAATAAAAACGGTGTTACGAATAATCGAACCTTGTCTAGAACTCGCTGAATTAATTTCTATCCATGATGGAGAATCGGATGGTAGAGTCAATGGTCGATCGGTTTTACCACCTTCGTGAGAAGTACTACCAGCCATAATTTGGGTTGTACCAAGATCGTCTTTGTTTCCTATCGAATCCGAATCATAACCACCCATCAAATGTACTCTTCGTCTGTTGTTGCTATTATTTTCACCATTGGTTTTTTTCCTTTCCTTGGAAGTCAATTTTGCTCGTAATTTAGTTTTCGTATTTTTCGTCAAAACACTCGGTGTAGTTTTATCGAATAATTGTAATTCTGTTGACAGAAAGACAACAAATACAACGAATAATTAACATTCAATGTATTATAAATACTTATTTTTATTTAAAAAAAAAAAAAAAAAAAAATAAATAAAAAACATTTATTTTCATATAGGATGAAATTTTTAATGAATTTTTATAGCGAACAATATAACTAATTTGAAAAATTACTTTAATTTTAATAATTAATTTGAAAAATTATTTGATTTAGAGATAATTAATTTGACAAATTTTAATTTTATAAATTAATTTGAAATAATTAAATTATTTTCTTTAGAAATAAATCATGTATCTCGTATGAGTTTGCATTAAATTTTTTACAAATTACAGGAATCAATTATGGTATGTTTAGTGTTAATATATTGTTGATATATTAATATTCGATATAAACAAATATAATTTAGTTAAAGTATAGATAAATCTTCCAAGATTTTTTTTATAAAATAGTTTTACATTAATTGTCTCATGGTTATTATAAATGAATAAAGCTAATATATCGATGGATAAATCGATCGAACGAATGAACGAGTTTAGGTACCTTGTAGACGTACACATCCTTCAGCCTTTCCAAGGTCGTTAACCGTTGAACAAACGTATCCACCGAAGTCAGCCTTTTTGAGAGATTTGACAGTGAGATTCATCTGCCAAGAGTAATCGCTCAACTGTTCCTCCGACATCGTGTATTTGTCGTTCGGCATCAGCTGTTCCCCTATAACCATGGTGGTGATATTGCATTGGTTTTAATTTGGACAAGAGCTTTCGTGAATACGTCACGTCGTTCATTTTACACCCGTAACGTCATACCGCAGGTAGATTTGTCGTTGAAAGTATCACGTGTAATACGACGTGAGAGAAAGAGAGAAGAGAACAACAAAATAAATGACAGGATGAAGGTGTTAAGGAAAAGGGAAAGTTACTAGTACATATTATTTGTCCGTATCTTCCAATTTTTTTAATAATTTTTTTATTTAAACTTATCTAGTACTTTTGTAATTATGGTTGCGTCAGGGTTGATTGTACTTAAATATGCAATCACATAATATTTTAGTTAGTGTATTATTATTTTTTTTTTTAGTAGTAGAATAATGTTATCAAATCTTCCTATTTTTTTTCTATTTCAAATTAAAATTATCTAGTAATTTTTGTACGCACGTAAATTTATTGTACTTAAATATGAAATTATATAATATTTTATCTAGTGTATTGAAATTAAGAAAAGGGAAAGTTATTAGTAGGTACATATTATTTTTTATTTCTATTGAAAATTATCTAGTACTTTTATAAGTATGGTTGATTGTACTTAAATATACAATCAAATAATATTTTAGCTTTATTTATTTATTTATTTTTTTTTTTTTAATAGTAGAATAATGTTATTAAATTAAAAATGTGTTTCCTATATACTCTCTTTCTCTCATTTTTATTTTTATTTATATCCTTCTTTTACTGTCATTTGGTAGAATCACCTATAAACATATGCATTGACAATTACTAGGCATTTCTCTCACCTGAGTCCCTGTACCAGGTGTTCATAGGTTGCGGGGAAGCTTCGACATAGCATTGTAGTACGACATCGCTGTCAACTGGAGCACCCACCAATTGATTGGGTATTCTGATCAGTGGTACGACTATATCAGAAAGAAAAATAAAGTAGAAGTCTATTAAAAATAGAACAACACATTACATGCTGCAAAACAAAATAGCAGATGAACAGAAATTGAAGGGGAAATAAAAGAAAAAAAAAATGAACAAATCAGAGAGTATAATAATAAATAAGAAAAAGTAGTAAATGAAACACGTTGAATATGAACAATCGACTATAAGTGGTCTAATGAAAATTATCGAGTAACTTTTAAAATTCCGAACGTTCAAGGGAAATTCATTTTCCACCAAGCTACGCATTTTCAACACGCTTCTTTAATTATTCCTGTAGTTTTATCATGATCGATTTTTTTATCACTCACGTACACGTGCATCGATTACTAATTCATTCGAATGTTCCAATAGATTTTTAAATACGTACATTCTTCAATTATTATATATTTTAATATTTTTTGATTAATTTCATAAATTTGTGTATTTTTATTTTTTTTTATTTTCTATTTCTATTTGCATACGAGCATTCCTTTTTGTTTTATATTGTTTCTCTTCAAATTTGCAATTGAAATAATAATCGAGGTTTTGTTAGAAATAAATGCGTTTGATGATAATTAAATGACGTAAAATAACAATTAACGATTACATTTGAAATATTTCATTATCAATCGCTATATGAACATATAAAATAGTAATTAGTACAAATGGTATTTATGCGATATTATTCATTTTATTGAATTAATCATTGATAATTGGATTTTTCATTATGGTAAATAATTAATACTCGAATATCGTGTAACATTTAAGCTCATACAATCCGATTGATTTTTATCGACATTCCTAAATGTTCTTCTACGTTTAGTAATACACACACAAATATATATATTCTTTTTGAAAATTATACAAATAACCTGTATCATACTATTTCAATAAGAATTTAATAATGATTTTCATTTTGTTTAAATTTACGAGTTTTATTTTTAAAGACGAGTGATAATAATTTATTCACGGTTAAGGGATGCTCATGTAATTACTGAATGAGAGTTAGAGAAGTAGAGAAGGGTTGTTTGCACGAGCTTGTAGTAATACATACAGTGAACAGAAACGGTGTAACGTTTGCTGACCCTTGGTGGCACAATACTGCTGGCTATACAGAGATATGTGCCCATCTCTTGTCGTTGTACTCCAGTAAGCTCCAGAGTTTCACCCTCGTAAGTGTCGATAACTGTAAAAACAAAAATGAGTCTCCAAGTAAAATAGAAAGAAAAAAAAATAATATAAACATAAATAAGGGAGAATCAATAATTCAATAAATTTGTTACTAATTGTTTTTTTTTAAGTGAAAATTTCTATAGAATGCATACATGTTTTTTTTATTTTTTATTTATTTTACTTTAATACGTAATATGTAGTTTTGAAGTATTAACATACTTTGTATTAGTATTTGTATTAGTATACTTTGTGTGAAAAGGGTTTTTTTAATTTTATTTAATAATTTAATTTAACCATTGCTTATATACCACCCTTCCTGGAGTAACACGCTTACCACACCCGGGTCCAAAGGACCCGGGCGAGAAAAATCATTATAAAAAAGAAACTATTGCATAGATTTACTTCAACATTTTTTTGAGACTTCTTTAATACTTACTTAAAAAGACTATATAGGTTTTATARCTTTAAATTAAATTTAAATATGTTTAAAAAATTACTAAAGTTGAACAATTGAGAAAAATGACTCAAGTTGCAAAAGAGGTCTGGATCCTTTGGAACAAGTGTGGTAAGCAAAGGTTAAGACTTTAAATTTATTTATATATATATATTTTTATATAATTTTATTCCAATTTAGTATTTTTACTATTTATTAGTAATAGATTTTCTTTTTATATACTATTTGTTTACTTTTAATGTATTTTTTTCATTTTCTTTTTATATTTAATTATCAACTATTTTTATTCGTATAACATTTTAAGAAAGAGAGGGTAAATAAAAATAAAATGAAATCAGAGTTGCAAGGTACTAAGGTAATCCCTTTTTTTATTTTTCTTCTTGTTTATTTTTTCTTTCTAAATTTCACATCGTATTATTCTTATAAAGTTTAAGAAAACGTGAAAAGGTTGAAAACAACAACGAAGTCTGTTAGAAGCATTCTAGAAATCTGAAATATCAAAAGCGACAACACAGAGTACGCTACTCTAAATTCGAGTGACTTTCAAGAGACAAGAAAGCACGGAAGTGTCCGGGAAGCCGGAAGCAAGGTTCCGCATGCGGATGCTTTTCTCTTTCCTTTTCTATTGTTTTACGGTGGACGCCTTCCTGTAAATTCTTCTCAGGCAGAAGTTACCTCAACTTATTATATTAACTACACTTTGGAAAAAAAAAATTTCAAATAAGAAAAAAAACTTTGTTTCTTTTTTTTTACAAGTTTCTGGAATATTTTCTTCTTTTTTTTTTTTTATATAAAACTACATCTCTTTAAAGAGTTTACGTTCGTTAAAATTTATTTAAAACTATTAACTAGAATCTTGTAATTTATCTCGTGTGTGTATTTTACAAGAGAAACACGTTGATGATGATATTAATACTAGTATACTATACTAGTATACTATACTAGTATACTATACTTGTATTAGTATGATATTAATACTAATATGCTATACTAGTATACTATACTAGTATTAGTATGATATTAATACTAGTATACTATACTAGTATTAATACTAGTATTAGTATGATATTAATACTAATATACTATACTAGTATACTATACTAGTATTAATACTAGTATTAATGGTATATTAGGTAAATAGGTACTAATACTAGTATTAATAGTATTAGGTAAATAGGTACTAATACTAGTATTACACTATGATACTAGTATACTATATGATATTAATACTAGTATATTTATAATTATTTTTAATTTATTTTTAATATATTCATAATTTTATATTATATTATATTATTTATAGTTATTTAATTAAATTATAAATATATTAATAATAAAATAAAATTATTGAATTTCTATGAACATTTGTTAAAAGCAAAATTGTTTTTATAATAAATTCATTATTTAATATATTTATCATTATATTTATAGTAAAATTTGTTTATACGAAAATATTGAATAATAATTTAAGAAAAACTTACGTTTTTTCTGTCCGTCTTCACGTAACACAATTTTTCTTCCATCTTCACGTTTCCAATTGACCGTTGGTTTTGGTAAACCAGTAGCCACACATCTTAATCTCACACTACCACCCTCGTTTGTAACCAAACCATTTGCTGATTCGTCATCCATAATATCTGGTGGTATCACTACTCGCATGTAACCCATCTGAAACATTAATTATTATTATTGTTATTATTATTATTAAAAATACAACTCACATAAACACTTCTTCTTCAATTTCTCAATTTAGTTTCAATTTCAATTGAACATTCGTTAAAAACAAAAAAGGTGTTTTTTTTTTTTAATGAATTAATTTTTTCTTTCTGTTGCATTTCCTTTTTTTTTTTAATTTTATTTACATTCTCGTTTCTTATTCTATTTTTCTGTCTTTTTTTTTCTTTTTACTTTATTATTTTCACTTTGTCGAATGAAAATGAAAATTGTAATCGTGGAAGTTGAAACGCGTATGAGAAATCAAGCGTAAACTTTTTAATACTCGAATCTGAAAAATATTTCCTATCCACGTAGATCGAATTCGTTTAATCTCATGGTCAACCATGCGAATTTTTCAAATCCTCTTTTTTTTTTTTTTTCTTTCATCATCGTGTACAATTTTTGAACAATATTATTTTTCATATTAATTGAATTACTTATTCGAGAGACACTAATTTCTTATTCGTTGTTATCACTTTCACAAACGTGTGAGTGTATCTTCAACTTGTTTATTGCTATCGTAAATATTAATTATTTCTTTTTTTTTTTTTTTATTTAAATGAAAAAAATAATAGTCAAAGAAACGTCACGATTCTCAAATTCCATGAGAAAGCCTTCTCTCTCCTCCTGTGTTCTGCTGTAGTAATCGTAAATTTTTAATATCCGCGCTTTCTTTTATTTCGCCATTATTTTTCCTTATAAAAGCCCGTTATTCGTCGAATGTTCGTTACAGCAAGCAGCAGGTAGACGAATTGCACTGTTTCTGTGTGTGCCTGCGCACCAACAACGAATAAGAGAAAGAAAACAAAGCAAAAGAAAAGAAAATAACGACAAGTTTTTATGGTAGAAAAACAATAAAGGGATATAATTGGTCAAGACGTTTTCTATACTTTTTTAAAAACGCACAAAACATTTTTTCAACCCTTATATAAATTATTATTTTTAATTATTCGCTATAACCAATAATACTGTATATGAAAAAAATTCAAGTTTTATGCATAAAACTATGAAAAAACATTGATCGTAAACTATTATTAAATATAATTACTATTATATATTATTATATATAAACTATTGTCAAAACTATTTAACTTTTCCATTTTTACTGGAAACACTAAAATCTGTATACCGATGATACAACAAAATAATAATAATAAATAAAATAATAATAAATAAGATAAATTTATATTAATTAAAAAACTATTAAATAAAAAATATATTCGATTATTCCATATATATATATATATATATATATATAATGTCAATTAATTATAATAAAACAAAATAATGATAAATAAAATGTAAAAATAAAAAATCTCAAGGGATGGACAAATTTTGAAGGGAAAGTAGTCAAACATTAAAAACCACTTGTTCTTCGTCCTCGAATTTGCCTGATTTGGCATTTTTTAATATATCTTCCCACAACGGGAAAAGGATCCCTTCGATCTATATGAGTGAAGCAGACCACCAGAATATATTCTAACACATATACATACACATAGAAAAAGCCCTAAACCACTCTCCCTTCTCTAGAATATAAGTGGATCGAATTGGAATTTTATTAAGTGTATGCGTCGGCTTTCGTCTAACCATTGGCCAAGTCGGCTTTTAAGAGACTTTTAGAAAGCAGGAACGTAAAGGGGGAATCGAGAACCCTCGACTATACACCCCTATACCTCTGTACCCCTTCTAAGCCCTCTCTTAACCATCCAACTATCCCTTAACGTACGACTACGCGGAAGCTGCATTATGTGTGGGGGTGGTCTGTTGAGGGAGACGTAAGGGGATGTGTTAAATGGTCTACCGTTGACTCCTATCCCCCCATCCCTTTCTCCACCACCTCCTCCACCTCCTCCACAATCTTCTCCATCCCCTTCTTCTTCTTCCGCTTTTTCCCTTATTCTCTACGAGAACGAATTATCCGCACGTCGATTCCTGTTATCCGATATGACACACTACTTATATTTATACGAAAACTTACTTAATATCATATTATTTTCATCTAAAATTATTTTCGTATTTTATAAAAATAATAGAAAATAATTATTAATGCATACAGGAATACAATATTTATTAAAAATAAAACAAAATAATTATTAATGAATATAAGAATAAAATTAGATTCTGTGTATTGAATTATCTATTATTTAAAAATAAAATAAAATAAAATAAAATAAAATAAGATAAAAATAATTAAATATGATCCATAAATTTCAAATTTAAAAATAAAACAAAATAATTATTAATGAATATAAGAATAAAATTAGATTCTGTGTATTGATTTATCTATTATTTAAAAATAAAATAAAAGAAAAATAATCAAATATCATCCATAAATTTCAAATTTAAAAATAAAACAAAATAATTATTAATGAATATAAAAGAAAAATTAGATTTCCTATTGTGATTTATCTATTATTTAAAAATAAAATAAAATAAAATAAAAATAATCAAATATCATCGATAAATTTCAAATTTAAAAATAAAACAAAATAATTATTAATGAATACAATAATACAATTAGATTTTCTATTGTGATTTATCTATTATTTAAAAATAAAATATAAATGAACAATAATCAAATATCATCGATAAATTTAATTATCCATTCATTTTCAACGATAAATCGAATAATTTGCTCATTAATTACCAAAACTTACAACGTGAGAGGATTAATTACAAAACACCGAAATGAAACAACAATGCAATTTGCTAGAATGGCACGTTGCCAAACAATGTAGGGTATATGCACCTTTTGTAACCCCCCAGAACACAACTAGAGCTTTTGATATGTAACAATAAATAATACAATTGAAAATAAAAAAGAAATTAAAAAAATAAAACAAACAAAAAGATAATAGAAATGTAACTGGCTTCTATGTATTTCTATATATATGTGTGAGTGTGTTGGTATTGTAATATGTTCGTTTAAAAGGAGACGAACTAATATTTGCAATGACACCTCTTTTGGCTGGGTGCATAAGAGTTGGCAGTAGCTTTTACGAGTACCTGAGTTTACACACACACACACTAACACACTCACACACATATATATATAAACATATGTGTAAGAACGAACAGTGGGAGTGTGAGAGAGAATGAGAGAGGGTGGGAGGAGAAAGGTGGACGATTTAGTGGTCGTAGGGCGGTACACACGTGTTCTACGGAATTCAATGCGACCGCTAAAGGAGGAAACCTTCCGATGCAATATACGAGAACGCTACAACGAGATAAAGGGGCTTGTAAGAGACCACCTTCCTCGTTGTACTTTACTAGAAAAACTAAGAGATAGAAAAGCACAAAAACAAATGAAAACAAATAAAATTTTACTTAAAAGTAGAAGGAGAAAATAAGTGAATGAAAATATTTTATTAAAGAAGTATACAATTAACTGTGATTGACGAGTATATTTGTCATGGGGGAAGTGAGAAACAGTCAATACACAAAAAGTAGTAGACCATTGGCTATTTAATTTGTAATTTTGATTTTCTGATATAATTAGAAATATAATAAAATATAAATAATAGAAATATATATATATATA